TTTTGTTTTTGTTTTTGTTAGCTGGCCAGTACTGGGGTTGAACCACTCCATGCTGTTTTCTATAATGGCTGTGCCAGTTTATGTTCCCACCAATAGTGTACAAGGGTTCTCTTTTCTCTAACTCCCTCACCAACCCTTGTTTTCTCTTGCCTTTTTTGATAAAAGCCGTACTAACAGGTGTGAGGTGATATCTCATTGTCATTTTGGTTTGCATTTCTCTGATTAATGATATTAAGGACCTTTTCATATACCCATTGGCCATTTGTATATCTTCTTTAGGAAAGCATCTATTCAGGTCCTTTATCCATTTTTTAATGAGGTTATTTTATTTTTTTGCTATTTTTGTGTGGTACTTACATATTCTATATATTAGCCTCTTATCAGATATATGGTTTGCAAATATTTTTTCTCATTCTGTAGGTTGCCTTTTTTTTTTTCTTAAAATGATGACCGGTAAGAGGATCTTAACCCTTGACTTGGTGTTGTCAGCACCACGCTCTCCCAAGTGAGCAAACCGGCCGTCCCTATATGGGATCCGATCCCGCGGCCTTGGTGTTATCAGCACCACACTCTCCCGAGTGAGCCACGGGCCGGCCCTATAGGTTGCCTTTTTATTTTGCTGTTTCTTTTGCTGTACAGAAGTTTTTAATTTGATGTAGTCCTAATTGTTTATTTTTGCTTTTTTTATCTGCTTTTGGTGTCAGATACAAAAAATCATTGCCAAGGCCAGTGTCAGAGTGTTTTCCCCTTATATTTTCTTTTAGGAGTTATAGGGTTTCAGATCTTACATTTAAATCATTAATCCATTTCAAGTTAATTTTTTTTGTAGATGGTGTCAGACAAGGATCCAAGTTCAATATTTTGCACATGGATTTCCAGTTTTCCTAGCATCATTTACTGAAGAGATTTTTCCCCAATGTTATCTTGGTGCCCTTGTCAAAGATTAGTTTACTATATATGCATGGGTTTATTTCTGGGCTCTCTATTCTGTTCCATTGATCCATGTGTCTGTTTTTATGCCAGTATCATACTGTTTTGATTACTGTAGCTTTGTAATATAGTTTGAAATCGGGGAGTGTGGTGCTTCCAGCTTTGTTCTTTTTTCTTAAGATTGCTTTGGCTATTTGGGGTCTTTGGTGGTTCCACATGAATTTAAGATTTTTTTTTCTATTTCTGTGAAAAATACCATTGGAATTTTGATAAGGATTGCATTGAATCTGTAGACTACTTTGAGTAGTATGGACATTTTAACAATATTCTTCCCCATGAACACAGGCTATCTTTCCATTTATTTCCATTTATTATTCAATTTCTTTCATCAATGTTTTATAAGTTTTCACTGTACAGGTCTTTCACTTCCTTGGTTAAGTTTATTCCTGAGTATTCTTTTTGATGCTGTGGAAAATGGAATTGTTTAATTTCCTTTTCAGATAGTTTGTTGTTCGTGTATAGAAACAGAACTGATTTTTGTAAGTTGATTTTTATATTCTGTAACTTTATGGAATTTGTTTATTCTAACAGTTTTCCAGTAGAGTCTTTAGGGTTCTCTATATATTAGGTTACATCACCTGCAGAGATAATTAAACTTCTTCCTTTCTAATTTGGATTTTTTTTTTTCTTTCCCTTGCCTAATTGCTCTGGCTGGGACTTCCAGTACTATGTTGGATAGAAGTGGTGAGTGTATTGCATAACCTTTAAGTAGAGGAAGGCCTTCCTAAACCTAATAAAAAAGAAACACACAGTAATGAAGATTAAGGAATAATTAATAAAACAATAAGATTCTGAAAAAAGAGAAAGAAGTTCCTTGTGGAAAAGAGGTGAGGTACTTAGGAAATAAGGGGAATAATACTCAGAAACAAACAAAAAAAGTGAATTTACCTTTATTCAGAAAGACCTCTTCTGTTACTTTGGGAGTGTTATAAGAAGATAAATTTACTTCACTAACAATAATAACTTCAGTTTATCTAAAGAAACCATTAAGAACCTGAATATTTAAGCCACAGCATGGGAGAAGATATTTGCAACACATACAATGACAAAAGTTTTGTATTCAGAATGTATGAAGAACTCCTACAAATCAATAAAATAATGGCAGACAGCCCAATAGAAAAATGGGTAGGACGCTTCAACAGAGGCTTGACAAAGAAGACGTCCATGTGGCCAATAAACATATAAAAAGGTGCTCCATATCATGGATCATCAGAGAAATGCAAGTAAAGCCACCATGAGATCCCATCATAATGGCTGAAATGGAAGACAACAATAATACCAAATATTAACAGAGATATGGAGCAACTGGAATTCTTAGACTGCTATAGTGCATATAAATTGATAAAATATTTTGGAAAACTAATTAGTATTAGTAATATTAGTTTTGAAAAACTAATATTTTGGAAAATAAATATCTATTTAGTAGATATTTTCAGTATCTACTAAAGTTGAAGATTTCCATGTGACCCAGCAATTTCGCCCTGGAGTTATACATAGCATAAATGCATGCATATACAGATAGTCCCTGACTTAACAGTGGTTTGACTTACTATTGACTTTATGAGAGGTTTGTCAGGACATAACCCCATCGAAGCTGAGGACCATCTGTATACACTACAAGCAAGTTCATAGCAGCATTGTTTGTCATAGTCAAATGCAGAAAACAACCCAAAGTCTCAACAGGGAGAGATAAAGTAGGGTATAATTCTACATTAGAATACCAGGCAGCAATGAAAATGAACAAACTACACAGGCAATTACAGGGATAAGTCTCACAAACATAATGTTGAGGAAAAGAAGCCAGATAAAACATTATACATAGTAACACTGTATTTATGTAAAAATTCAAAACAGTCACAACTTAATCTATGGTTATAGAAGTTAGCATAGTGGTTAACCTTCATGGATGAGGCAGGGTATAGCAACTGGGACAGCCAACAAGTAGGCTGGCTCTAAATAATTCCAAACCAGGGTAAGAGTCAGTTTAGTTGTGACAGCCTGGAATATCTCCATCTTGGTTCTTAATGACTTTTTTAAGTGTTCTGTTTCATATATATATAAAGATATATAAATGATATATATATCTCATGAAGAGAATAGTGAAATCATGAGATGAAATAAATTATAAGACTAATAATTACCTCTAAGTTAATTTATTTTAATGTAGTGGTACTCAGTCCTGGCTATACATTAGAAGCATCAGAAAACTTTTTAAAAACTGATTCCTATGCCCTATTTCCAGAGGTCAGGGCCTGGGCATTGGTATTATGAAAAAGATCCACAAAGGCTGGCTGGTTAGCTTAGTTGGTTACAGTGCAGAGTTATAACACCAAGGTCAAGGGTTCAGATCCCCTTACCAGCCAGCCAACAACAACAAAAAGCAAAAACAAAATCCACAATTCCTTCTACCCATTAAGATGGCTACTATTTTTTTTAAAAAAAAGCAAAACCAGAAAATAACTATTGGTGATGATGTGGAGAACTTGGAACCATTGTGCATTGTTGGTGGGAATGTAAAATGGTGCAGCTGCTATGGAAAACAGGATGGGGTTCTTCAAAAATTAGAAATACAATTGCCATATGATCTAGCAGTTTCACTTCTGGGTATATTTGAGGGTACTTCAAACAGTTCATGGAAAAATAGAATTAAAAGATAATACAAATCTTTGCATGAACTTTGTGAAGTATCCTCTTATATCACAATAATTTAAAGCAGGGTCTTGAGATATTTGTACACCTACATTCATAGCAGCACTATTCACAGTAGCCAAGAAGTGGAAGCAACCCAAGTGACATTGACGGATGAATGGATAAACAAAATGTGATACACGCACAATGGAATATTCAGCTTTAAAAAGGAAGGAAATTCTGACATATGCTACAATATGGATGAACCTTGAGGACTTTATACTAAGTGAAATAAGCCATTCACAAAAATGACAAATACTTCATGATTCCACTTCCACAAAGTATCTAGAATAGTCAAATTCATAGAAATAGAAAGTAGATGGTTGTTGCCAGGGGCTGGGGGAAGAGGAGAACAGGGAGTTGTGCAATGGGTATAGAGTTTCAGTGCTGCAAGATGAAAAAGTTCTGGAGATTGGTTTCACAAAAATGTGAATATACTTAACACTACTCAACTATACACTTAAAATAGGTAAAGATGCTAAATTTTGTTACATATTTTACCACAATTAAAGATCTGCAGGGCCGGCCCGGTGGCGCACTGCTACAGTGCGCCACTTGGGAGCACGGCAGCGCTCCCGCCGAGGGTTCGGATCCCACATACAGACTGGCCGCTCACTGGCTGAGCAAGGTGCGGGCGCAACACCGAGGGTTGCGATCCCGTTGCCGGTCCCGGTCCGGTACGGGCGCGACACTGAGGATTGCAATCCGTTGCCGGTCATGAAAAAAGACAAAAAGGAAAAAAAAAAAAAAAGATCTGCAAGTGACTAATATGCAACAAGAGTTGAGAACTAACACTGTTTTAATGCAAACAAAAGATATACTGGCTAATTGTTAATGTCAGTCTCTAAAAATGGGCAGATTAACCAGGAAAATGTTTTGCCTTTCCCCCTTCATTGAATTACCAATTATAGAATACGTATGTACTAATAATACCTTTAACATTCTCTGTTATTTCTTTTTACCAGGTATTTATAGACTTCCTGTTAAGACCTCAATTTGTGTTTTTGAAAGGTAGAAAAAAAAATACTGTGTAATGCTGAAATAATTTAAACCATCCAAGACTAACAAATACATAATGAAACAGTTTTTACTACTTCTATAGCAAAAGATTCGTATTTATTTAAAAATTAATTTGTTTGTCATTTGCTGCTTTTTTTCTGTCTTAAGCAGGATGCTTTAAAATATATCTGTTAGTCTTGAATAATATTTTTCAGCTCCTATAGAAACCATTTTAAAAGTGCTTCTAAGGTACTCAGTTTTTTCTTCTTCAGGACATGTACTTATAGACAACGTTAGACTATCAGGATTTGACACAGTTAAAGATGTCTCTGCCAAGTCGACAGACAGCTATTGTTAACCCTCCTCCACCAGAGTATATAAATACCAAGAAAAATGGGCGATTAACAAATCAACTGCAGTATCTACAAAAAGTTGTTCTAAAGGCTTTATGGAAGCATAGTTTTTCTTGGCCTTTTCGACATCCTGTGGATGCTGTGAAACTAAAGTTGCCTGTAAGTATGTCTTATAATTGTGTTAGTTTAAAAAAAAAGATAAATCCTGTAAATTTCTGTAAGCAATAAAGTAGTCTTTAATTTTATAAAATATATTTAATTTAATAAACACCTGATTTATTCAGCAGCACTAAAGAATATCCCAATGAGTATTTTTTCCCAAAAAACAAATCTCATTTTTCTGAGCACTGACATTCTTATTTTTAAGTTTGTGATAAATTATAGTACATTTTTTTCTTATTATAGCATATGTTCCTTGACCATTTGATGCAGGGTAATCATGAATGTCACCTTTTCCATGAAGTCTCCTGACATTTCCTGGCCGACTTAGTTGCATCATAACTAAGAATTCAACTTCAGGTCTTATGTTAGGAATTTTTAGCAAACCCTTAACAAAATGGTTGAGTAATTTGTAATACAGCTAGTAAATGTTGGAGCTAGTATTTTACTCTGGATATGTCAGAGACTCCATAAATACCAGTTTCTTTTTCCTCATGCCATTCACTTTTTATATTCCAGGATAGTTATACTCATAAATTCTTGTCTTTGTCAATCTTTATTGGCTTTTTTTTTTCCTGTGAAAAATAATGCCATGGCAGTCCGCTTTATTTCTCATTACTAAAGGTTGCAATTTCCAGATTATGGCTTTTTATAGGTAACGAATTGCTCAGTCTAGTTACATGTGTATAGTTTATTAAATTTCTTTTTGTACCAATAATTGTAGTGAACTCATTCTTAATAACGTTTAGAATTTCTTCAAAACTATAGGATTACTATACCATTATTAAAAAACCAATGGATTTAAATACAATTAAGAAGCGCTTGGAGAATAAATATTATGTGAAGGCTTCAGAATGTGTAGAAGACTTCAATACAATGTTCTCAAATTGTTATTTGTACAACAAGGTATGTAAGCCTTATGTTATACTTGCTGATTCTTTGCTACTACGTATGGGAAAGAAATGTATAAACAAATGTGCTGATTTCAGATTTCACGTCTTGATCTGGGATATTTTACATACTTCTAAGGATAATATTTTTTCGGTGGATTTCATAATTTTCAAACATCAATATTTGTTCAATCCATTTGCTATAATATTTTTGCCTGAATAGCTGTAATTATGTTTTTAAAAATGAAATACCAGTGATAGCTGGTTTCTATGAGTAAATTTTTCAAAATGTTCTCTACTGCATTCCTACCATTTTAGTTATAAGATGAGTGATAAGCATTATTACACATTATTCTTGGTTAAACTTTCATGGTATGGATCTCTGGCCGTAATCTAAGAAGCCAAACACATTGCATACCTCTAAATTTCATGACACGTTGATTGAAAGGCCAGACACATTCTTTGTTACGTCTTAGTACTAGTACTTGCATTAGCCTGGATGATGATATATGTAGACATTTTGAATTTAATCTTCACAGTTGCTCTCAATCATAAAACTGGATTTGTGTATTTGGTTTTTTCCTCCATATAGCATTCCAGCTTCCCAGAGTACTATTTCCTTTTCAAGCTGTTCCATAGTATCAAAATATTTTAAAGTTTTTATCCCATTTAAATATGAGAAATCTAAGTATTTGGCATTTAGCCTATTCATAATCATTAGTGACACAGAAATGTAAAACTTTGATTTCATTCCCAAGGTAGCTATCAATTCCATCATATATTTATAAAAGACTTAAAACTATTAGCCAATGTGAATTTTTTTTTTTTAAATGAAATCAGTACAGGGCTGGCTGCTTAGCTCAGTTAGTTAGAGTGCAGTGTTTCAATACCAAGGTTGGGGGTTCAGAACCCCATACTTGCCAGCCACCAAAAAAAGAAAATCAGTACCAATGGTAATCAGTACCACTGACAACTTCATTTTAATTTAACAACAGTTCCTGAAGGGTCCTCTTCCTGAGCTACTTAACTTAGAAATAAGTGTTCTCTACTTTAAGCTGTTGCTTTGTAATTTACTTAGTTTTTTCTCAGTAGTGAAGTAAAGCAAGAGGAAGATTTCTAAGCAGGTAGTTAAGATGTAAAAATTGAGTCAGTGCTCTCCACTGTCACTTTTTTTTTTTTTTCCTTTTTGTCTTTTTTTTGTGTCCGGCAACGGATCGCAACCCTCAGTGTCGCGCCCGTACCGGACCAGGACCGGCAACGGGATCACAACCCTTGGTGCTGCGCCCGCACGTCGCTCAGCCAGTGAGCGGGAACCGGTCTCCACATGGGATCCGAGCCCTCGGCGGGAGCGCCGCCGCACTCCCAAGCGGCGCACTGTAGGAGTGCGCCACCGGGATGGCCCTCCACTGTCATTTTTATTTTTAAAATTAAAAAAAAAAAATTGGGGGGGCCGGCCCGGTGGCGCACTGGAGAGTGCGCTGCTTGGGAGCACAGCAGTGCTCCCGCCGAGGGTTCGGATCCCATGTGGAGACCGGTTCCCGCTCACTGGCTGAGCGACGTGCGGGCGCAGCACCAAGGGTTGTGATCCCGTTGCCGGTCCTGGTCCGGTACGGGCGCGACACCGAGGGTTGTGATCCCGTTGCCGGTCCTGGTCCGGTACGGGCGCGACACCGAGGGTTGTGATCCCGTTACCGGTCAGTAAAAAAGACAAAAAGGAAAAAAATAAATAAATAAAATAAATAAATAAAATTTTTGGCAGCTGGCTGGAATGGGGATCTGAACCCTTGACTTTGGTATTGTATTACTGCACTCTAACCAACTGAGCTAATTAGCCAGCCCTCTGCTGTCATTTTATTATTTAGTTAATTGGAGACTGAATCACTTCAAGTTAAACCATGAGGAACTTTGCACAGCCACGAGCAAGTTTTGTTTTACTTTATTTGTGGGGTAGAAATTCTAATTTCTAATACCTTTTTGTATTAGTAGGATTGGTTGGATTGTAATTCTCTGGTGCTTAGAAAGGAATCTGGGTCTTTTTTAGAAGTTGAGGGGGTAGGATGCTAGAATTTAAAATGTGAGCTGCTTCACTGTTTTCTAAATTTCATTTAGGTGAGATAAGTACTTTCTAGGAGTACTATGTCACTGCCTTATGTAAGGTAGCCTGAATTAAAGAAATTTGGTACAGTGACCATACTGTGTGTTCTTATGGTATATATAATATATTTTCTAGCCTGGAGATGACATTGTTGTTATGGCACAAACTCTAGAGGAGTTGTTTATGCAGCAATTATCTCAGATGCCCCAAGAAGAGCAAGTTGTGGGTGGTAAGGAAAGAATAAAGAAAGGTAAGCCAAGAGGTAGAGTTTATGTTCTCTCTCTGTCTCTGTCTCTCTCTCATGTGTGTGTAATGACAAACTAAATATAAAATCCCTCAAAGGAGACAGACATCCATAAGTCCTTCTATATCCTATTCTATTGATACAAAAAGTCCATTTAAACAGTCTGTTAAACCTTAATCACAAAGCTGGCTATCAAGCAAGAGCAGGGCAGATTGCATTGATTATAGACTTGGAGCCACGTTTCCTGTAGTGTAGTGCCTAGCCTATAAATTATAGCTGCTATTACTGTTTTCAGTGGATATTGTATCTGTGCTATACTGATAAGAGAGCACAAATTGCCAATGTTCTCTGTACCAAAAGTTGCTATAGCTGACAATGAAATGTTACTGTTGGGTCTGAAGACCGTCATTTTTGCTTTTTCTTAACTCAAAAAAAATCTTTAGAGGGAAATTCATTAGAGCTAATAATCATATTATTTAAATACGAAGTTACAAAATTAATCTTAAGTATTCAAATGGATTTATTGCAGTGGTTAGCCAAGAATGTCATAGATCAAGTGCAGGTTTATCTTTGGATCATTCAACCTGTGTAGTCTTGGTTAAGTTCCTTAATCATTCCACGTTAGTTTCCTCATCTATGATATCAGGAAAATATTTATCTATCATGGTTGTAAATGTTTGTACAGTATATAGTTAAGTGTCTGGGATATAAAAGGCTTCTAGTGGGTTCATAATAGTCGAGATTGTTTTTATTGATAGTACTTTTTTCTTTATTGTTAATAGATCTTTAAGATGGGTCATGACTTATAATTTGCTTTAACCAATCCTGTGAGATATCCACTGGTTATTAATGTTTTTATTTTGTTCTTGTTTTGTAAAAGGTTATCTTGAGTTTGACAATGTAAGACCTAGGCTTCTACAGAGGATTAAAATAAGCTATTCTGAGATAGATAACATAGATCAGTATAGTACTTAAATAGTTAAAGCAAGGTGCTAATTATTGCTGACTTAAATTATTGTCTCTAGCAAGGTAAAAATTATTTATGTTTAGAATGCTCTCCTTTAAAAAAAAAAGTGTTTAATACTTTTTTTTTTTTTTTTTAAAAAGATGACCAGTAAGGGGATCTTAACCCTTGACTTGGTGTTGTCAGCACCACACTCTCCCAAGTGAGCTAACCGGCCATCCCTATATGGGATCTGAACCCGTGGCCTTGGTGTTATCAGCACCGCACTCTCCCGAGTGAGCCACAAGCTGGCCCTTAATAGTATTTTCTTGATGGTTATGTTGGAGCTACTTGTTTCAGATGCTTAGGTTACTGCTAAGAACACAAGTTTTCCTCAGACAAAAGTTCTTTGACTTTGTTTTTCTGTCAATACATACTTGGATATTTGTCACATATAAGGCATATATTGTGTGGCTGCAAAGTAGTATAACCACCCTAGCCCTCAAGCTAAATTTACATTTTAGTTAGAAATAAAACTTTAAAAAAATAATAATGTGAGCTCTGCAAGTGAAGAAAGTAAAAATAAAATAAATACTAAGAGTTATAAATGTCAGGTGAAATTACGTGTATTCTGTGCTGTAGTTCAAGAGAGTGAGAAATTGATTTGTGCTGGAAAATTTGGGAAGGGCTTTAGAAGTGATAGAACTTGAGTGTGAGTCTTTCATTTCTAGTAGTTCTGCTACATTCTTTTTTAAGGTATTAATCTCTTTGTAAATTTTCTCCTCCATATTCTGGATATCTTTTCTTCTTTCCTTGTGTTCTCTAATTGAGTCTTTTATTTCTTCAAGCTTTCTTAAGATCATTGCTCAGAATTCTTTTTCAGACATTTCAAGGATTCCCTGTTCTATGGGGTCTGGAATTTGAGCATTACTATATTCCTTTGGTGGTGTCATATCTTCTTGTTTGTATATAGTTCTAGTGTTTTTTCATTGATGTTTGGTCATCTGGTAGAGGAATTGCCTCTTCTGTTACTCTGGGGTTGGCTATGAGGATAAAGACTTCCTCCTCTATTTGCAGGATCTACTGATGACTCTTCTTATATCAGTGTAGTCAAGTGAGTGGCAGGTTGCCTGTAGAGGGGCCCTGGCTGCTACTGTGGTGGTGAACTGTCCTTGTGGTGACAGAAGGTGTGGCGGTATCTATATTACACCACCTTGTCTCCTGTTCTAGCTTTCCATGGCTGTAGACTGAGCCCCTGTGCTGTGCAGGTCTCAGCTCACCTTGGCACCTACTGGGCTGTGTGCACTTCCTTCCTCCCCCAGGGCCTCAGACTGGACCTCAGCTCCACAAGGGTCTGGTCTCAGCTCACTTCAGTGGCTGCTGGGCTGTAAGCACTTCCCTTCTCCCCAAGGCCTTAGACTGAGCCCTGGTGCCATGTGGGTCTCGGCTCACCTTGGCAGCTGCTGGGATATGGGCGCTGCCCCTCCAAGTCCTTAGACTGAGCCCCAGTGCCATAAGGGTCTGGTCTCGGCTCACCTCGGTGGCTGCTGCGCTCTAGTATCTCATCTTTAAAATCCACCTTTACTCACATCTTTCTTCCAGCTACTGTCTCTCTCCCCACTTTTTTCTTTCATCCTATACACTCATGAACTCACTTCAGTATAGGTTCTAGCTTTATACACCACCAAAAGGTTATTACCATTCAGGGTCACTTGAAGTCTACAAGTTCCAAAATTTTTCTATTCTCATTTTTTACCTCTATCAGTATTTGCTTTAGAAGTCTACTGTGTCTTTCTTGAAATGCCTTTCTTTATATCTTGGTGTACACACTAATTGTGTAGGCTTACCTCCCACTCTGCAGTCCTCTTGGCCTTTCATTCTCTTCTATTCAATCTCTAAATATTGGGTTTTTTTCAAAGGGCTTGATATTAGATATTCTTTTTCTAAATTCCACCTGTGTGTTATTAATCCCCAAATTTATGTATCTAATATAGTCTTCTCCTCTGAAAAACAGTTTCTTATCTTCAGTCCACCCAATATCTTCGCTTGGAAGTCTTAACACATCTCACACTTAACATGTTCACAGTTAAACAGTGACCATAACAGAAAATGGCACTAATACATACACAGTTGTTCAAGTCAGAAGCCTAGGAATCATCCTTGATTCCTTCCTTGCTTTAATTCTTTTTCACACATTCTGTTCACTAGTAAGTCATTTGGACTCAACCTCCAAATTGCTCTTACAACTCTCCTAGTCTAGGCTACCATTTTCTTACTCCCAGTTATCCTGATTGTCATGTCTGGTCTATTCTCTACACGATAGCAAAAGTGATTTTTTTAAAAACAGACTAGAACGTGTCATTCACCTGCTTAAAACCTGTCTTTGGCTTCTCATGGAAGAATGAAGTGTAAATTTCGTACCATGATCGTTCGTGATAAGGTTCTTACTCAATGCTCCATTCTAATCTGAGTTACTTTCCTCTCCCTAAGGTTTTCCCCCCTGATTGTCTTGGAATACATTTTTACTTCTACCCTCTCCCCACTTTGTCCCATGTCCCTCATGGTTACTTTTTACCTTTACAGTGACGTCTTAATTGTCATCTTTAGAGAGGCCTTCCTTGGCTAGCCTCTCCATAGTAGGTCTCTGCCTTAATTTAGTCAGCACCCTATTTATTTCCTTCCTAAGACTTAGCATCACTAATAATCAATTTGATTACTTATTTTTTGTCTGTTTCTTACACTAGACAGTAAGCTCCACAAGAATAGATACTTTGTCTGTCTTGCTCATTACTGTGATTCAGCACCTAGAATTGTGCCCAATATGGAATAGACATGCAATAAATATTTATCATATTCCTCTTTTGTATCAAGCACTATACTAGGCATAAGAGATATGGGGGTGCTCAAAACAAAATCCCCTTACCCTTATAGAGCTTTTCATTCTAGTTGGAGATATAGAAACAAAATGAAATAAATACGTGTATTCCTCACTATAAATATCTGTCTGGCTCCCTAGTTCAAAGAAAAAAAGTTGGACTATCAGAGGATGTTCAGATATCTGAATCTATTTGATTCCTGAGTTTTAGTTAGTACTGAGAACTCAGATATTGAGGAGTATCAGCTCTATCTTAAAATACATCTAAATCTATTTAGCTCCTGAGTTTGTTTAGCAAGAATCGGTGAGCCAGGGTTATCTCTGTATTGTGTATCAAATGTAATAAATGGAAAAAATAAAGCATAATAAGAGAGCTAGAGAGTGGTGGGGGTAGAGAGAGAGGGTTGTTTTATGTAGGGTGGTTGAGAAAGTGACATTTGAGTCAAGGCCTGAAGGATACATTGGCGTGAACCATGAGGATATCTTTATCCAGGCAGAACAAGTAGTCTGTTTGTAATTAGCAAGTCTGAGGACAAGCGAGGCTAGTAGGCTACAGTGAAATAGGTGGGGGAGGGGAGTAACAGGAAGTGAGGTTGGAAGGAGGGCAGAGGTAGGGGGAAGAGGGCAGGCAGATCATGTAGATCCTTATGAGACATTGTGAGGACTTTGGCTTTTACCTGCAGAGAAGATTAGGAGATTAGGTTGGAGGGCATTGAACAGAAATGTCATGATATGAGTTGAGTTTTGAGAGATCACTTTGGTTGCTATCTTGAGAATAGACTGTAGGGTACAAGAGCCGAAGAAAGACTAGTTAAAATGCTGTTACAATAACCAATTCAGTTGAGAACTGTTGATGCCTTGGACCACTTGTGAGAACTGGTTGGATTCTAGATATGAAGGTAGAGCTAACAGGATTTGCAGGTGGATTGGATATTGGGTTTGAGAGACAAAGTCAAAGATGACTCCAAGGCTTTTGGTTTGAGCAATTAGAAGAGTGGAGTTGCCTTGATGGAAGGGTGGTCTTTTCAAATTATAAATGTCAGAGTGATGTGATCCAAATGTCTTAGGTTACGGCTTTCTCTGGGAACATACAAGGCCAAAGAACATGCACAA